CCCTGAAGGTAGGACAAGAAGCAACGGATGGAAACTAATCAAGGAGAGAAGCAACTTGGAATTAAGGAGGAATTTCCAACCGTGAGAATCCTTGTCAGGGATAATGACTGGAACAATAATAGATAATACGATAACAGATCATGGGTGGTACAGAAAGTGTTCTGGTTGGCTTCCGGTTTGCAGGGCTTCGGCGGCAGGCAGGAATCCGCGATCGTGCACGGTTTCTGCCTGGGCTCGCCGTTGGAGCGCCCCGAGCCAGCTGGCTTCGGGCCTAAGCCACCCCGTAGAGGTGGTGAAGAGGGGGGAGATCACCAACAGGGTCGAGGAGAGCCGCATCTCTCCTCCTCAGCTGGTCAAACTCCCTTTTCCCGAAGGCGGTAGGAGCGGTGGTCAGAAATGGCCACCTCAAAGAAGTTCTGGGTGTTCTATCAGGGAAGGTTTTCAAATAGAGACCGTACAACCATTTGTCCGGAATGGAGTAAGGTCTCCCATTCGAGGAGGGGGTTGGACTAGAAGATCTCCAAGGTCCCTTCCAACTCTGTTATTCTACAAGGCTTCTGTTAAGTAGAAAATTAATCCGAACGTTAGAACTACACAGGTTAAGGTTTTAAAAACTATACTGAAACCGGAACTAAGGGATGGATGGATGGGATGGGGATAAGGTTTTCTTACCCCATCCACGCCTCAAGCCGTGAGTTGCTCCTCAGAGCCCCATCAAAACCATGCACAATTGCAAATCCTGCAAATATTAATTCTCTTTACTCTAAATTTCTTTCTAGATTTCGTCCGCGCATCTTTAACGTATCTTTACTCAGAAGTCATAGAGCCCCTGCAGCTGGAAACGAGTTCTCTTTACAACAGCAAAGTATGTTTCGTTTTGATTCAAATCCTTTGCCGCCCCTCTCTGCCCTGAATTGGACATAAACCGTTATCCTTAGTTGTCAAGCCACAATGTTCAGCCAAAACAAGAAATGAATCGCCCTGAAGGTTTGCAAAGATAACCAGCTTCGCGGGCCATTCTTTGTTCTAATTGCTCTTGGAAGACCTTATAGCTATTGCCAGGATTTATAAGCCATGGTTTGTGTTTTGCTCTAAGATGCAGAGCAATCCTCTTTCGTTCCTGTCAGAAGATGGATAGACAGGATTTGGTTTCTTCAGAGTATGGTCCCACTTCTAAAAATCCAAAACTTGCAGTAAAATGGGCGATTGAGAACTTTTGGAGCACATCTAAGTGAAAATTCGTGTGTAGGTCGTCATTAAGATTTTGTTTTGTTTTATTTTATATAGAATAGGATGGGATGGGATGGAATGGAATGGGGTGGGGTGGAATGGAATGGAATGGAATGGAATGGAATAGAATAGAATAGAATAGAATAGAATAGAATAGAATAGAATAGAATAGAATAGAATAGAATAGAATAGAATAGAATAGAATAAGAATTAGGAATAGAATAAGAATAGAATAAGAATAGAATAGAATAGAATAGAGTAGAATAGAATAGAATAGAATAGAATAGAATAGAATAGAATAGAATAGAATAAGAATTAGGAATAGAATAAGAATAGAATAGAATAGAATAGAATAGAACAGAACAGAATAGAAATAAGAATTAGGAATAGAATAAGAATAGAATAGAATAGAATAGAATAGAATAGAATAGAATAGAATAGAATAGAATAGAATAACAGAATTGGGACCTTGGAGGTCTTCTAGTCCAACCCCCTGCTCAAGCAGGAGACCCTGCTTGATACTGAAGAGCCAATAAAAGTTGGAAATAATAAAAAGGATAAAAAACCAATACTGTACTAGAGCCCAAAATGGCACTCTGGAGACCGTGCAAACGTTTAACGTGGAAATTTCTTTAGTCTAAAATTCCATGGGTCATATTTATTTATTTGTTTGTTTGTTTGTTTGTTTGTTTGTTCGTTCATTCGTTCATTCGTTCATTCGTTCATTCGTTCATTCGTTCATTCGTTCATTCGTTCATTCGTTCATTCGTTCATTCGTTCATTTATTCATTCATTCAGTCGGTTGTTTAGTCAGTTAGTTAGTTTGCTCCCTATCTTGTCACAAGGTGAGTGGGTGGCCAATGCTGTACAACTTTAGAATGTGTGTGTGTGTGTGTGCGTGTAAGTTCTGGAGAACTTGCTCCCCTTGTTTAGTTATAACTTGTATTCTACTGCACACTGTATGTATACATGTATATCAGTGGTGGGATTCAAAAAAATTTTTTACTACCTGTTCTGTGGGCACGGCTTGGTGGGCATGGTTAGGTGGGCATGGCCAGGTGCCTGGGAGGGCATGGCTTTTTTTTTTTGCAGCCACCCCCCCACCCATTTTTGGGGCCTTCTGGAGCCTCTACATGGGCGTTTTTACTCTCCGAAGCCTCCCCTGGGGCTCAGGAAGGCAAAAAATGCGGAATCCCGGCACAGCTGGTCCTATGAACAGCTGATTGTCGGCAGGGGAGGTGGAAAAAGAAATACCCTAAGGTGCCAGCATCAGGCAGGTGGGGTGAGCGAGCCAGCGACCAGGTTGGGGGCGTGGCCAGCCAGAACTTACTACCGGTTCAGCAACCCACGCCAAATCCTTGCTACCAGTTCGGCCGACCCAGTGTGAACCGGCTGAATACCACCACTGAGGTACATGTGAATCAACCTGAATCGATATTCGCAGTGGCACGAAAAAGAACTGGAGGATCAAAATATTAATTGTTAAGTCGCGGGAAAGATCGACTCGAGACCAGTGTGACTTCAGTTCTTTATTTAGTCTCTTCAAAAACTGAACAACCGTGGAGCCGCCGCAGCCTCTTTTATAGCGGCTGCTCGTGGCTCGCGGCCAATGACGGCTCCTTGAATTTCCCGCCGTCAGACAGACCAATCAAAAGGCAGCATTACAAGTATTCAAATGTATAAGACGGATCAATCAAAAGGCAGTATTGACGGACCGATCAAAAGGCAATATTGATGGAGCAATCAAAAGGCAGTATTTCAAGTATGCAAATTATAACATTAATGAACCATTCTGCACTTTCTCCATCTAACTTCAGGCGCACTTGAGTTACCTGATTAAAATGGAAGGACAATACAGAATTGTGCATCTGAAGCAACAGTAAGTGGCCACTACCTTTTAAGGGATCTTGTGGATTGACTGAATGATTGTGTGGATCTCCTCCCAGATTTAACAAGAGCAACTCCCAGTGGTTTATGACATAAAAACATAAAAACAAACATTTAAAAAGAATCTCACCAATAATCATGAGTGGAAAATGTAAATGTAATGAAGACAATACCTAGAATAGGTCTTCTATTCCAACCAGGGGTGGGTTTCTATTGGTTCTCTCCACCTCTGTAGAACCAGTAGCTCTGAAGAGCAGCAGAACCGGTTCTGTGTCTGCTGCTGGTTTGGCCCGCCTGCCCGCCCGGGCTCTTACCTGACCTTTTATTTCCTGATTGTTCAACTTTAGCTGCCATGCGAGGCACAGCTGCAGTTTAAAAAGTCCTTTTTCAAAGGCTGCTTCTCTGCACGCAGCACGCTGATGACGATTTACAGGCGCGCCCACGCAGCGTGCAGGGAAGCGCATCGTAAATCACCCAACCTCGTAAATCATCGAACCGGTAGTTAACCCTGTCGGATCCCACCACTGATTCCAACCCTCTTGTTCTGGGCAGGAGATGCTCTACCATTTCAGACAAAGGATTGTCCACTCTCTTCTTGAGAACCTCCAGTGATGGTGCAGCCACAACTTCTGGTGGCAAGCAGTTCTACTGGTTAACTGTCCTCACTGTTAGGGAATTCCTCCTTAATTCCAACTTGCTTCTCTTCTTGGTTGGTTTCCATCCATTATGACTTTTGTTACCAGAGAGATCCTCTCACGAGGAAGCCCAGAGTATGAAAACCCAGAAGCTCTTAGAAGAACGTTCTACACAGCCAGCAGGTTCTTCAACCACATTTGCAATTTATTTTATTTACTTTTATTTATTTAAAAGATGGCTGCATGTCTCATTCGCTGACACCAGGCAGCATAGAACAATTACCAGAAAAATAATAAAATTAAATCAAACGACCCTAAAAGAACAACAACAATCATCCCCAATTCACAGTAAGTGATGCAACCAATCTATCAACTTCCAGGTGACAAATATCTGTGGAGATAGCCAGATCTTTTCATTTTCCAACTGGTAATTGCTACTTTAAATATTTGTATAATAGACTTGGCACATCTGCGATTACTCTTTGTTTCCCTTTAAATATTTTGGATTATTTTTTTTTTAATCATCCCTCATCCAAAACAATATTCCTTGCAACTTAGCTTGCTTTGTTATGTAATTGTTGTGGTATGCCGGCAGCCGGTACAGATGGCAGTGGAATCGGACAGTGGGGAAGAAAGGGGACCACTCCGGGGGTCTGGGGAGGACTCGAACGAGGGTCTTGCGTCCGATGCAGAGATGAGGCCAGGACCATCTGGGAGTGGGGTGCTACCTTTGGAGTCTGGCAGCAGCGAGGAAGAGGACCCAGGGGAGCCTGTTCCTAGTGCGCGTGTGCACAGAGCTGCTGGAAGGCAAGAGCAGCTGAGACAAAAAGGGCAACTCGGGAGTAAGACTGGGAGGTGATTGCCCCTCCCATAAGGGATAAAAGTCAGGCCAAGAAGACGAAACCTTTGCAGGAAGCAAAGTAGTTCAATCGGTTCCGAGTCCTCCTTGAAGCTCTGTGTACTTCAGTTGGTTTCTTTTATAGTTAATTGGACACTTCTGTTTCTGGCTGCATTCCACAGAGCTGAAAGGTGCGTGCTTATCTTGGGGAACTGCTTAACATTAGTTCTGGCTGGGAATGAAAATAATTCCCAGCGTTGCAATAAAATAGGTTTTGCTTTTAAAATAAGTTTGCGATGAATTACGATGGATGAAGCCTGGGTCAGAACAGTAATATGCTGCATATAAAGGGATCCATCACCTGCTCAATTCCTTTTTTTAACATTTTCAGATTCTTTGCCATGGAAAATATGCCGATTTATACCTACAATGGGAAGGGAGAGCTGGTTGCAGAATATCCATATATCCAGGTAAATTTTGTGCATGACAATACATAATAATCCTATTGAGGTGTTTTATGGTCCATAAGTCTAGTGCAAGCAGTTCTCAGCTTACAACCACAACAGAGCCCCAAATTTATGTTGCTAACTGGGAAATTCATTCAGTGATCTTGCCCCATTTTACGACTTTTCTTGCTATGTCCGTTAAGCGCATCCTGCAGCTGATAAAATTAGTCACACGGTTCTTAAGTGAGTTTGGTTTTCCCCGTGGACTTTACTTTTCAGAAGTAAAGGGATCCCATGATCCCAGGGGCACAGCCACCGTCATAAATATGGGTAAATTACCAAACCTCTGAATTTCGATGACGTGACCATGAGGATGTTGCGTGAAACGGTCGTAAGCGTGAAAATAAGTCACTGTTTTCGATGGCGTTGTAACTTTGAATGGTCCCCAAGCAAACTGTTGTAAGTCTTCTTGCACATTTCCGTGCTCCAATCAAAACGTTAGTTTTCTTTTTCCTTGACTTTCACAACCAGAATCCTGAACACAAACACACACACACACACACACACACACACACACCAGGTATTAACATATCATTCCATAGTATTTCTCATAGCCAAAAAGCAACTCTTGTCTTTTTAATCTCCAAAGTCCAAGTCTAGAATCTAGAATCAGAATACAGCTGGAAGGGACTTTGGAGGTCTTCTAGTCCAGCCCCTTGCTCAAGCCTATACCATTTCAGACAAGTGGCTCTCCTCAAAAACCCCAGTGATGGAGCACCCACAATTTCTGGTGGCAAGCTGTTACACTGGTTAATTGTTCTCTCTGCCGGGATGTTCTGACCAAGGCTTCCTAGTCCGTAATTATCCACATGCTTATTTTAAAAACAAGTCTTGTTTTATTGCAACGCTGGGAATTGTTTTCATTCCCAGCCGGTAATGAATTCTCAAACAGTCCCTCGAGATAAGCACCCACTTTTCTGTCCTGTGAAGTGCTGCCAAGAACAGAAATGTCCAATGAACTAGAAAAAAAAAAAACCCAACCGAAGTACACAGAGCTTCAAGATTTAATCCGAACAGGACTTTGCTTCCTGCAAAGGTTTCATCACCTTGGCCTGACTTTTATCCCTTATGGGAGGGGAAATCACCTCCCAGCCTTACTCCCGAGTCTCCATTTTTGTCTCAGATGCTCTTGCCTTCTAGCAGCTGTGTGTGCGCACGCGCACACACACGAACACGCGCACACACACACTGGGAACAGGGTCCCCTGGGTCCTCTGCCTCAGCGCTGCCAGACTCCAGAGGCTCCCGAGTCAGCACGCAACTCCCAGATAGTCCTGGCCTCATCTCTGCATCGGATGCAGGACCCTCACCTGAGTCCTTTTCAGACTCCCGGACTGGTCCACGTTCCTCGCCGCTCTCCGATTCGGCTGCTGTCTGCACCGGCTGCTGGCGAACCACAACGCGGAAACTTTCTCCTGAGTTGCTTCTCTCCTTGATGAGTTTTCATCCTTTGGAGAAGAGCTTGAACCACCCCCTCTTCTTGGTGGGAGCCCCTCAAATATCGGAAGGCTGCTATCATGTCACCCCGGTCCTTCTTTTCTTTAGATTAGCCAAACCCAAGTCAGATGTTTGCGGGTTATATAAGTCAGATCAGCGACGGGATTCAAAACTTTATTACTACCAGTTCTGTGGGTGTGGCTTGGCTTGGTGGGCATGGCTTGGTGGGCGTGGCAGGGGAAGGATTCTACAAAATCCCCCATCGCTCCCCACCCCGCTAACCTGCTTTCCAGATCCGTTCTTCCTGGGCAGGGCAACCAAAGGAGACCCAGCCGATCAGCTGTGGGTGCGGCTTGATGGGTGTGGTGTTCTGTGGGCGTGGCTTGGTGGCTTGGTGGGCGTGGCATGGAGTAGCTTGGTGGGCGTGGCTTGGTGGGCGTGGCAGGGAAGGATACTGCAAAATCCCCCTTCCCTCCCCACCCCACTAACCTGCTTTCCAGCTCTGTTCTCCTTGGCTTGGTGGACGTGGTGTTCTGTGGGTGTAGCGTGGTGTTACGGCGGGTGTGGCATGGCACGGCTTGGTGGGCGTGGCTTGGTGGGCGTGGCAGGGGAAGGATTCTGCAAAATCCCCCTTCCCTCCCCATTCCACGAACCTGCTTTCCAGCTCCGTTCTCCCGTGCAGGGCAACCCAAGGAGACCCAGCCGATCAGCTGGGACTCGATGGGAGGCAGAGAAGAGATGGGGTTGGCGGGGCCAGTCAGAAGTGGGCCGCTTCTCTGAACTACTCTAAATTTCTGCTACCACTTCTCCAGAACCGGTCTGAACCGGCTGAATACCACCTCTGAGTCAGATTTGACCAAAGTCCGAAGCTATTTTCCCTCGCCATTGCATAGGACAAATCTGATTCTTCCAAATAGAAAGACGCAAGAATCTCGTCTTGGAAATATTCTCGGCTCCGCCAATTCTTTCTATTTGAATTTCTTCTTCCGAACACGTGGTTGCTTTTTGTCTCCCTATCCTTCCAGGACAATTGCTATTACAGTGGCCATGTGGAGGGAGTCCCAGGTTCTCAAGTCATCCTGTCTACCTGCAGCGGACTTTGGTAATCGTTTTCCTCAACTTTAACCCACCACGACCGAGATTGGTGGGCTTGACCATCATTGTCCTTAAATCTTCCTTTCAGGGGACATATACAATTTGGCACCTTAACTTACGAAATTCAGCCAGTAGAAAATTCCTCCACATTTCAACACTTGATTTACCGACGGGATCCACAGGCGCAAGAACCCTGTATAGAAACCTCCCAAGATGGCGCCCATGGACCAGGTAGGGAAACGAGAATGGTGAGGACTGAGGAAGATCCAGATCTTTCCACCAGACAGGTAAGTGGGCCTTTCTGCCTCCGAATCCCATGAGGAAAACTGAGATTTGTTGAGTAGAATGCAAAGTTTTTCACCCTAAGAATGTCACTGCTGACAGCCCTTCCAAGCTTAAATAATGCACCCTTTGTAGCATTGTTGCTCAACTTGGACAACTTGAAGAGGTGTGTGGATTTCAACTCCCAGAATTCCCCTGTCAACTCATAAAATATTTCTCTGGTCTTTCAGAGTTGCCAACAGAAAGGGAACGGGGAGCAACTCAGCAGCTTGCAAACCGAAAGTTTGCATTCCATAAATGTTTTCATAGATAGTTTCTAGGTGACCGAAGTTTCTGCATGCAAAATTCTAACCGGAGAGCATGATGGATGACTCTGGGCTATGGAGGTGTCCCATTGGAGGATATGAATTACGATACACTCAGAGGGGTGAAGGGAAAACCAGGGTCAAGGGTGACAGTGAATGATGCGTCTCAGAGTTGTCTGCACCCAGGCAGTGCCGGACATGTTAACTCCCAATAAATCCTTTTGAAGTTTTGGAAGTTTGGCTCAAGACACACGATTTAAATGGGGGTAACTGACATTCCCAGCCAGCTTCTTCAAGTTGCTAAGGTGTTGTGGCCTGTCAGCCACCGGCCCCTCCAGCAGCCAAATCAGAGGAGGAGGAGGAGGAGGAGGCGTGGGAGTCAAGGTCAGCATCGGGGCAACCTGGGAGCTCCAAGGGGAAGAGAGAATGGAACTGGCAGAGAGAGAAAGAGAGGTGGAGCCTGGGACATCCGCCAGCCCTCAGATGGAGAGTCAACAGCCCCCAGGTCTGGAGGTGGCTGTTGAGGAAGAGGAGGAACAGCCGGGTCCAGTGCCTGATGCGCAGAAGGCAGAGGAGAGGAGAGCAGGGGAAATCTATGGGCCGGTCCTTGAGACGGAAGAGCCACTGCTGCTAGCAAAGCCAGAACAACTGTTTTAGCACTTCTAGGTTGCCAGTTGTCTCCAACTTATGACCGGTCACTTAGCGGCCATTCGTAGTTACGACAAATCCGCCCCAAATCCCATCCAGATATGAAGTCCCAATGGCTGCTCCTCCCCCAGTGACGCGATCACATTGGGTACCCTTGGCATCTGTCCCATATTTATGGGTCATTTTGGAAACCCCAATACTTACCAGTACAACCATTAGTCCTGCCTAAACAACTTCCACTGGCTTGATTCCAGCAAGGTGACCTGAACCGGAAGGGCAACCGATACCTAGAATATTACGCCGTTGTTGACAAAAGCATGGTAAGTTTGTCACTGATCATTGCAATTTATAGAACTGGAAATTACAGAATCACATGATGAGGGAAGAGAAGGGGAACTTACCAAATTTGCAGATGAGACTAAGCTGGCAGGAATAGCCAACACCCAAGAAGATGGGCTCAAGATCCAGAGGGATCTCGACAGACTAGAACACTGGGCCATATCTAACAAAAGGAAATTGATGGATAGAGATAGATGATAGATAGATAGATAGATAGATAGATAGATAGATAGATAGATAGAT